TGCTCCGACTACATAATTTTTTTTAATCAGGTTCAGAACTCTAATTTGAAATAGTCTGTCTCTTTTTTCTAAGGATGTTTCTGCACTTGATTTTATCCTCATCAGAAAAATCCCTAAAAATCTTACCTTATTTTAGAGGTTACTAGCATTCTGCAGTCTTACTTGATTTTTTTTTTTTTTTGAGTTTGGCAGACATTTTTAATATTGTTATTAGCGAATCTGAACTAGAAATATTCAAATAAATGGCCATTATAAACTCGGTGTTTTGAGGTCCTTTACACCTATGTCTCCCGGATTTTTCATCTATTCCATCCACTTAAGGGTCAGATTCCTTCTCTTCTATTTTGTGAAAGAGAATAAAATAATCTGTTTTGCTTTTGTTCATGATGTTTACCAGTTTGTTGACAGTTTACATTGCAGTGAAAGTCAAAAGTCCAAGAATCCCACCTGTCAGCACTTTCCTTCACCTTGTCTCTGTTGAGAGCATGTTTTATAGTTATTTTAGCAGTTGCCTATATCTTAGGAACTGACTAATGTGTCATGGTTTGCATCACACAGTTTGTTATGGACTTGGAAAAGATCAATGTTTGATGCAAAGTTTTATGATTTTTTTTTTCTTGTTAAGTCTTTTATCAGCAACTGGCTAAGGAGATAAATTTGGCTACAACATCTTGAGAAATGCTGTTGCTACTGTGGACAACCAAAAATAATGGTCCAGACAGCTCTATACTGGGTGCTACCTACTCCTGTAGCTACAGCCTTGTTGTATTGGCCACCTCGCAGTAGAGAGCAAGGTGTGAGAATGCCTCCAATGCTTTGAGCACTCTGAGCCTCCTCTGAGGACTTTTCCATGTCATAACTGTAAAGGCAAATAAAAACAAAATTCAGCTCAATAAAAAACAACTCATTTTTACTTAAGCTCCTTTTTTGAAATCAGGCAAGCAATGTTATACACTATACACAGGTCAGAGGTGGAAAAGTTATAAAAATTTCTGATGCTTCTCATTTCTAATGCTCTTTCCTTTCTTCCCGCCTTCCCTGTGCACCAGCATGCACCACGCACCACGCTCCAACTGGGGAGAGCCCTGTCTCCGAGTGGCTCTGCCCAGTGCAGCATCTCCTCTGCCTCCAGGGCTTCCTCAGTGCAGCAGGGCTGTCTCCCACTGATGAACGACGTGCTGTGGGAGCAAGGAGGAGAAGGGGGCCGCCTGCCCGCAGGTTCTGCTTCCAGCCTTGTACACACCAGGTGCCTCCTTGCAGCCATTGGCAAGAGGCTGCTGCAGCAGACGGAGCTTTGGAGCTCACAGCTGCTGCAGACAGTAGCATGCCTTTGGTTAAGCACATTTCCTCAACCCTCATCTACTTCTTTCCTCATCGCTGCTGTCAGTTTAGGTCTTATCTAGACTAGAAAAATTTAGAAATACAGTTCAGGAAAAAAATACACCTTTTCCTAGTCCATACAAAATTATGTGAGCTGCTAAACCACTTTGCAGAGTGGGCAAGAGCTACTCCTCAGGAGAAAATAAGCATCTGGCTTGGTTGACTGGAGTATGGGACAGATGGCAATGTTTTTGTTGACAAAAAAAAAAAATTAAGTCTCAACTTTGCTTTGTCTGTAGCCAGAATGACCTATTCAGAAAAGACTGTATGGATCTTGGCAAATGGATACCATTCTATGCAATCTTCCATTTGTTAAGTGACTAGGTATCTTTTGGGATTAGTCTTAGGACAGCTTTCTTTACACAATTATTCATTGTGCTGCTTTCTTGGAGAGTTGCATTTGTGGAAAGGGTCAATATAAAACCAGCAGGATGTTCTTCTAATTTATTACAAGTACATCTAGGACTCCTGCCTGTGGCTAGGTTAGGAAGGTATTATGCTATTACACTTATCATTGCCAGACCTTAACTGTTGAGGTTAAAATTTTCCATCCTGGGAAGAATGCTAGCTTAAAAACTCAGTATGTTTTGAGAATGACTTTTTTTTTTTTTTAAAAAAAAAAAAAAGAGTTTTTAATACTCCTGTGCTTTGAGAGCAGGGACTGACTGAGATTTCACACAGGACAGAGCTTTGTATCAGAAGTGTGTCTTTTGCCACTTCTATGGAAACACAAAATAGATTGGCCAGATTTTAGGCCTTTGAAAATCATAGCTTCTGGACTGAAGTAACAATATAGACACTCTGAGATGTAGTTTTCCATCTAAAAAGGGGAATAATAATTGTTCTTCTAAATTTTTGTCTGTCATCCTACATGAAACGATGAGATTTTTGTGAGGTGGATTGTGTCACATTACAAGGTGTCTAGCAGGACAGGGTAGCAGTATTCTGTTGGTGTACTATGATAACAAATACTCTTCTTAAAAATAGCATACTGCAATGCAATAAAATCCTTTTCCCAAAGTAGAAATTAAAATTAAAACTCAGCTACTTTAGCTACATCATTATATTGAAATAGTATGTAAATTACTGTTTTCCCCAGGGAATAGTAAATATTTAAGCAATCAAGTTCAATCATTTGAACCAAAATGGAAAAGAATTTTCTGAGATATTTGACCATGCTCAGGAAGGTTTTTCATTAAGCTTATTCATGAAATTGATTAGATAAGTAACAAGTGTGCTGGCAGATAAGCATTTTCTGTAGTTGGGCCAAGCATCTTAGGATATTACATTAGCTCTTTCAAGTTATTAGACACAAGAATCACAGATATAACAAAGCCTGAAGTAACTCAACTTCTATTTGGAAAAGAATACCATTGTTTCTAATTCAGCATTGTGAAGAAGACATTAAAAGATAAGCCCTATCCTTAACCAAACTTAGGCAAACTTTCATAATGTAGTTAAGAGTGGGATGAAACTTTTCCAAGACTGTTCCCAGCTGGAAAAGACTCAGGATGGCACTCCTGACCTAAATTGCAGTCCCATTCACTTAGATTTTATCCATGAAGAGTGCACTCAGGGGCATTGCAAACTTTGGGACTTCTGTCAGTCAATGAATTAAATAAAACCTATCAATCATTCTTACCCAACCCCTCAGTAATTCAAATGCTGTAATTCCTAGTGACCACCAGTCTACTGGGTATGAGTATCCTGGACTTCCATCCATAAAGGCCTGGAACACTTCTGGAGCTAAAAGGAATGAAACAAAAAGCATTACATTGAAGTTAGACTAAGGATCATTTATATGGACAGCAGAAAAATTAAAAAGGATGCAATTAACTGGAATTGAATACATTTTCAGGTATTGCAGTTTCAGGAAGCAGTTTCAGTGCCTTGCTTTTCTGACAAGTGACCTTTACGGGTAAGGGTTTTTCAGTAGTGAATAATTTCATGTGCTAATTCTTACCTAATTCCATTTAATTTTTATGTCCTATGACTAAAAATAAGTAATAGAAGGGGAATTCCTGAACTGAAATGTGTCTTGGAATACTTAGGATAATACAAACGTTTTATGGGATGAATATCTACAAGCAAGGTGATTCTTTGTGACTGATGAAGATGTTGAACATGATAAATCTCATCCTTATCCTACATTTGAATTAGAATTAATCAGATGGATTTTAAAGGTATTCAACATACAAAAATGGTGAATACAAATCCTGACACTTATTGTATGCTGTGAGAAACTGTCATGACTGGGAATAAACACACTGTCAATAAAGTAATGAATTCTATAAAAATAACTTTCCTGAGGGGAGAGAAAAAAAGATCTTTTCAAAACAAGGATCCAGTTGGCTAATTTCAAGAGGAAAATCATACTAAATAATGTCCATGTCATTTATTCAGAAAACCATATATAAATAAGAAAGGATATTAAATGAAATGAAAAAATCAGTCATGCTTTTCTAATTATTTCACAGCAGCGTCTCAGTACACTTTGTGAAAACACTTTCCCTGGGGATTTTCTGAACACTACCACCAACCATAACATGGTGGGAAACCACACTTACCATGTGAGCCTCTGCTGGGCAGGATACTGATTCTAGTGTACCACATTATCACCTGACTGCCATCACACCATTTTCTAATGGGCATGCTGCAATGAATAATGCAATCTGATCACACTTAGTTCAGATTGGCAGTTTGGGATTTGACATACATGGCATTTACAGAAGAATCTTCTATCAAATGAAAGGCATTCCTCTCAGATGAGTTTTTGCACTCCTTGCATTATGGATGGCAACCTAACAATTTGCAGCTCCAGACCTGATTTCAGAAAGTCTTGAAGGGTCACACCTAATAGAGGATTTTGGCATCCATTAATTCAATACAGCAAAACCCTAATCTGTAGAATAAAAAACAATGAATGCATATAAGTGGTCCTACACTCTTTGCTCAACAGGAAGATCTCTAAAACCTTTAGGTAGAGGAACTGCAAGCACTTATACATTTCTTCCAGAATATGTGTGTTTGGAGAACAGCTGACCAGTGGATCTCTGGCATAGATAAGCTTGTGCTGTGATCCAATATGGCATGAATGAACAATGCCAAAAAAGTCATCACACTGAGTTAGCTCTGTCCTGCCTCCAGATAACACAGCTCCACTTGGCATGATGTATGTTCAGACACACATGCTGTTAGGGATCTGTGTAGGCACAGCATACATGTGTGCTGTCTGTCGCAGATCAATGTCAAGAGGGTAGGAAGGATTTTTTTGGTTTACTTTTGAGGATTGATGCATCTAAACTGCACATCAGGTGGCAAAGTCATATTTTGAATATCACCATAGGCACCTGGTAGTAAAGTTTGGTTTATTTTGCCACATTTGTTACGTGTTTTGCCCACTATGCCTAGATGATGTATAGTATCTCACTACAGAAACTGACTTGGTGGCCTTTTTACTGAGCTATATATCTATAATATTGGTTTCACTGTTGTGTGGTTTGTTTGGGGTTTTTTTGTCATTTTAACATTGTAATAATGCAACAGATTGTTATCTGATTCCTATGAGGTAGAGACAAAACTAGTTTACTGATGTAACCTACAACATTACCAGAATGGTGCAGCTGTTTTGCTAATTTAGTGACTGAGTTATCCACTTTTGTTTTATTCGTTTGCTCTAAAAGCTTCAAGGTCAACTCATACCTCATTAAGAATATTTGCAAAAAAAAACTTTCTATTGCCCACTGGCCTTGGTTTTTTGATGCTGTTTTCTCACCTTAAGCTGATGGCACCCTTAGATCAGAAAATGGGCAGTGAGGCTCCTGATTTTTAAAGCAGATAGCCCCTTTTCCACTGCTTTAGCAGAATGAATTGCAGTCTAGCTGGACTGTCTCTCTGCATTCAGTCAGCTCTAGTGAAGCAGTTGTAAGCACTTGCTTCCCAAGATGAGGGAGCACTGACAGAAGGTGTGACATGTTTTACAGTATCCTGTACACAGTTATTTTCTCAGGGTGAAATCTCAACCTTGCTGTAGCCAAAAGACCTTTCCCCACTTTGCAGGGCTGTTAAATACCAGTCTCACACTAAACTTGTGCTTAATGTGTCTAAAAGCATTTTTGAACTGAGACATTAGGTGCAAACAAAGACCTCCAGGCTGTACATCAGATTTCTAGAGTTTGCCCACTCATTCAGAAGCATAGCATGATTTTACAAAAAGACAGCAGATCCTCCAAGTTATGAGGTTTGCCAAGCTCTGAAGAACTAGAGATGTGAAATACAGAACATAGTATTAGATTTTGTTGTAAAAAATAATTATGTCAGAAGAACCAATTCAGAGTATAAATTGGCTAGGATAAAAGCAAATAAATCTGAAAGTCAGAATTCTAGATAGGTTTTCTTTAGGATTGTTATTGAAATAAACTATCTGTAATCTTTCAAAATTTGAATTTGATCTTGGGCTTAGCTTAGACAGCCATCCTGCAGCCTCCTGTGGGTAGGTTCTTCCAAAGGATGGTAAGATTTGGGCTTGCCAGCTTGGAGCAAGGGCAACAGCTCTGCTGTGTGCACACTTTCTGTACACACCTTCCCTTATCATAAAAGAATTTGTGTGAGAAGAATATTTACATCTTCTACCACAGTGCACGTGCCTAAATGCTAGGATTCTGCTTGCAAAAGTTCACTCATGTGAACCAAATTAAGAGCGCGTGAAAGAACAAAAGTTTCAGATCTTTTTCCTCAAGTAATTTCTATGGAAAAATGACTTTTCAGGAAACTATGTGATTTTAATACTGGGTTTAGACCTACAGCCCTGAGGGCTGTAGTCACAATCAGATACAGTTATAGAATCATTAAGGTTGGAAAAGACCTCCAAAATCATCAAGCCCAACTGTCAGCCCAACACTACCATGATCAGTAAACCATGTCCTGAAGTGCCACGTCTGCATGTTTTTTTAATACCTCCAGGGATGACGACTCCACCACCTCCTTGGGCAGCATCTTCCAGTGTCTCACTACTCTTTCACTAAAGAAATGCTTCCTAATATCCACTTGAAACCTTCCTTGGCATACCTCAACCCCTTCTCCTTTCGTCCTGTTGCTTGGTACCTGGGAGAAGAGCCCAACACCCACCTCACTACAACCTCCTTTCAGGTAGTTGCAGAGCACAATAAGGTCTCCTCTCAGCTTCCTCTTCTCCAGGCTAAACAACCCCAGTTCCCTCAGCTGCTCCTCATAAGACATGTTCCCCAGACTCCTCACCAGCTTCGTTGCCCTTCTCTAGACCTGCTCCAGAATCTCCATGTCCTTCTTATCCTCTGGTGCCCAAAACTGGACACAGTACTCAAGGTGCTCTCTCACCAGTGTTGAGCACAGGGGCACGATCACCTCCCTATGCCTGCTGGCCACATTATTTTTGATACAGGCCAGGATGCCACTGGCCTTCTTGGTCATGTGGACATACTGCTGGCTCATGTTCAGTCAGCTGTCAAGCAGCACCCCAGGTCCTTTTCTGCCTGGCAGATTTCCAGCCACATATGCCCAAGCTGGTAGCATTGCCTGGGGTGGTTGTGACTAAAGTGCATGATCCAGCACTTGGCCTTGTTAAACCTCACACAACTGACCTCAGCCCAACGATCAAACCTGTGCATATCCCTCTGCAAACTTATTCAGGGTGCACTCGATCCCCTCATCCAGATCATTGATAAAGATGATATAAGTTTGAACTATAGAAGCACAGCTTTTAAATAGTGAAGCTAAATCAAGTAATAGCAAGTCCAGAAGCAAGAGTGAATTCAAAGACAAATAGAGAAGTTATGCAATTGGTAGGTCTTACAGGCCCTCACAGCTCCTCATGAGCAAACACCTTCAACATGATGGAGAACGGTTTTACTAAAGCTGCCCAAAAGAATGTCTTCAACAGCAGTAACCTGCTCACTCTGCTCTGAGCAGGACATCAGACTAGAGACTCCTGAGGCCCCTGCTAAGATGAATCACCACAATTCTGCAATTCTAATGAAGCTCAAGCAACCACCTTCTCACAGCACATCTGAGAACACCAGAAGATTCAATGGGACCTTTACAGCCTCTTCCTCTCAACAAACATCATGAACTGCATGGGCTCTTCACTTTTTTCCTCAGACACCTGGAAAACGTGTCCCAGTACTTGGGATTTCTGAAAACCTGCATCTCAGAAATAATGCGGTCTTTTGGTTTGGGGAATTATTTTTCATGTGTGGCAGAAGTGTGATCCAATACCCTTCATGCAAGCCTCTGCTAGCTGCAGAGACAGAGCACTTCAAAACTACTGCCATCCAAAGCTGGGACATCTGTGCTAATTTTAACAGGGCAAGCAATAAAATCAGGAATGTTTCTGTGTCCTGTACGATAGCGAGTAAATACACATTTAATATCAGCAACTCACAAACTTAAAATCATCCGATAGTTTTTTTCATTTTCTACATCTATATTTTTATCTTAATAATATGCTTTTGTGTTGTCACTGTTTATCTGCTTTGCTTTCTTAATAAACGATATAAAATGAACCCCCCCTTCCTCTGCATTAAGTGTGCTTCAGTGTGTTCCTTGGTTGTCCCTAACAAATATTTCCAGTTAATGTGAGATTTTGCCAACTAATAAAATAAATCTTCTTCAGACCTCTTTTGATGCTTTTGCACTGTACCTTTCCAATAATACTGTATCATTGCATACTGTACAAAGTAAATGGTTATTTCTTTCTTAGAATAAAACCA